CTTTGTGAAGATTACCGGGCTAAATAACGGGGCGTGCGAGAGTCCCGATAAATAAACTCATTGTTCCCGAATACGAGTCGAGTCATTTGCGCCTTCTTCTGACCCATCCCGTCTCCGACTTGAATCCCTAGGAGCTACCGGTCCCAATATATATATATATATAATTTGGAAAACGACATGAATTTTCTTTTATTTACTTTATACAGGTGTTCTCCAGTTTTTGAAAAGAACAGAAAAGGTGGAAGTACCTCAAGCGACATTAATAATTCCAGGTAAAGATTTTGTTTTAATTTCGCATTATTCTTTTTAGCATTAACAAAAGTTAAATATATTGTTTTTGTAGAAAAATCAGAGAATATCGAAAAGACCTCACTGAAAAGAAAGATTGATACTGCACATTTTGTTCACGAGAATAAAGAGAATAAAACACAAAAAGGTATACAATATCACAAAATGTCAAAAGAAATAATTGAAAGGTATAATTAATCGTTGTAGGAACTGATAATAAGTTTATTTAAAAAAAAAAAAGAGCCAAGCAATTTGAAGATTCTCAGATTACGCAAGAGATGTCACGCTTGAAAAACGAAACCTTGATGTTGCAAAAAAATTTATTATTACAAGAAATAGAGGCTAAATCAGAAATCACCAAACTGACAATCGAAAATTTAAAGTTAGATGCACGAATTAAGAGGCTAACATTACAGAAAATTGTGAAGAATGTTGAGGATGATTAGTAAGTATATTTCGGTAATAATTCATATAAAATACAAGTATACAATTTATAATATAATAGATTTGTTCTTATATTTTTATTTACAGTAATTAATATTGGACCTTATGTTGCACCACTTATAGCAACCGTTAGGCGAGTTTTAGTTCCGTAATCTGAAAAATTCATATATAAGTTTCTGCAAAATGCCAAAGAAGTTGTGATATAATATATATTATTATTATATATATATATATAGTTATAAAAATTGTTTTGTATAATATATATAGTTTGACATATAAACATTTCATACTTTCGTTAAATTTGTCATTATATTTACCTTGAGAAATACTCATTGATGAGTACTTGTCTGACATTATTGTCTCCCACTTGAACTTCAACATGATTCTCGTTATTTCCAATTTCCTCGTCAGGCAAATCCACAAGTGCAGGAGGTTCTTCTTCATTGTGATTTCTGGCTATGTTGTGTAGAACTGCTGTAGCTACGATAATATCTTGCACAGTCTCTATTTTCAGTCTCATACCTAAACTTAAAACTGGAAATCGACGCTTCCAAACACCAAAGACTCGTTCAACAATGTTCCTCGTATGTATGTGAGCATTGTTATAAAGATTTTCGGCTGCAGTAGTTGGGTGCAAAAGAGGAGTGAGAAGATATTTCTTGACCGGATATCCGCTATCGCCAAGTAATATTCCCGAATGAAACTCGCCTTCCTCTAATCTTCGGTGCACCCAACTATGTTGAAATATTGTTGCATCATATACAGAACCCGGCCATCTACTCACAATGTCTATAATTTTCATATTATTATCGCAAATAACTTGGGTATTAAGAGAAAAGAATCCTTTTCGATTTCTAAACTCTTCTGCATGTTCACCTCCTGAAAATATTTGTTATAAGTATCATTGCTTAAAATAAGTCAATACAAATTCTAAATCTTGCAATGTCTATACAATGTTTATGTAATTTTTTTCTGCTGTATGGGATAAGTACTCACACATCACAAAACATCTCAGCAATGTCTCCAAAATATTACATTTGAAATGTTAAATATTCTAGAGATAATGTCAGAGATATTTTAGAAATGTCTGTGCAATGTCTTATGTCACCAACTTATAATATTGTTGAGATATTCTGAAGACATTGCTGAGATGTTTTGTGCTGTGTGGGTGTAGTATTTTCACTTTACATAATTTATATTTGTTGTTATAGTCCATAATTTATATTTCACATAGTTGTAACTTACCAGGAGATTGTATTCTAATATGTGTTCCATCGATGCATCCAATTACCCTTGGGAATTTATACATTTCATAAAATGCCCGTTGCGTTGTACGAATTTCTTCAATAGATTGAGGCATATTAATCATTGCTGCTGATAACGAAGCAATAGCCATGGATACTTTTGCGACAACTCGAGAAGCAGTACTAATGCTTACTCCACTAAAATCACCACAGGCACGCAGAAAATTGCCCGTGGCATAAAATCTCAAAGTTAATAACAATTGGTTAATTGGTGTCAATGACCTTGACCTAAAATTACATAAAAAATTATCAATTACGAACCATTCGTTAAATAATAATATTATTTCATAAATTCACTTTATTATTATAGCTCTATTA